TTGCTCATCAGGAAAACGGAGGAGGCGGAAACTTTTCAATAAACTCTACTGATGAAAACTTTATTTATCTGAGTATCAATTTCTAAACAAGGGAATAGACGTTTTCAAACGAATAAAGCTGATGATTGCTGTTAGTTTCATGCTAATGAATCTTACTATATTTCACCTCTCAAAGGAATATTTTTGGGAATTTCAATTGATTTCACTTTGTTTTTTACTTTTTGATATTCAAATGTTGGGACATTGAAAACATGTTTTCCTGCAACACAAAATATCTCCCGAACCATGTAAAATTTTTGAGATGAAATTTCGAGGCGTTATGGCATGGCCCAGATACACCGAATTTTTTCCTATCCGAGTATACCAGAATCTAGAAGTTCTGGGTCCAGTTACCTCAATTTTCTGGGTAACTGGGCCCTATAAACATATAAAAAATAAATATTATATCGTCAAAGTCTTTGATTTTTTCCAGCTACACTACTCTTCAATTAACTTGCTCATGAATATGCACTGAATATGTGTACAGAATCTCGAATCATTATGATGATCAGTAAGATTGTATTGAGCCTCTGAATCTGAATTGTTGTAAATTTGAGTCCCAGTTACCCACATTGACCATAACACATTCGAACTGTTTTTAGCAAATCAAGTCCACTTTCTGCTGAATTCCATCGAGCAAGTCTCACATTCGAACGGTTTTTCGTCAGTGTGTTCAGTAAATGTTGATTTTTTAGTGAACCTTTTTAGGCACACATTGCATTCGAAAGCTTTCTCGGTGGTTTTCGTCTCATTATAAAGTGAATTTTCAGCAGCACAATGAGCTGAATCTATTTTCGACGCAGTGTTACTGGTCAGCAATCTAGTTTATTACATAAGAGTAAATTCGAAACACACTATTAGAAACTATCACGTTAATTATTGCTGATTTCATCTTCTTTCATCTCGATTTTAACAATTTGTCCTAAATCGATTAACTGATGTTCATGATGATCTATCTCAGTTTTACATTCACTTTCCATCCATGTATATTCTAAAGTAGATTCTCTTGGTGGAAAAGTGTCTTCAAGGTCTTCTACTTTCACTTTTTTCTCCATTCCATCAACAAACGTGTCAATAAAACAAGTTTCCATTTGTGTTTCGGAACTTTGGTGATCGCTTTCTGGAGGTATCTCAATATGATGAGTTTTGCTGTGACTTGTCAAATATCTTTTCAATCTAAATTTTTCCGAACAAAAATCACATTGAAAAGGTGTCTCGTCACTGTGCACTTTAATGTGTCTAGTTAAATTAGGCTTACTGTTGAAATTCTTCTGACAAAAGTCACATTCAAACGGTTTCTCGCCAGTATGCACTCTGGCGTGTCTAGTTAAATCAGTCTTACTGGCGAATGGTTTCTGACACATTTCACATACGAAAGGTTTCTCGCCAGTATGCACTCTCATGTGATAAGTCAAACCAGACTTACTGGTGAATGTCTTCTTACAAAAATCACACTGGAAAGGTTTCTCGCCAGTATGCATTTTCATGTGATTATTCATACCAGTCTTACTGGCAAATATTCTCTTACAAAAATCACATTCGAAAGGGTTCTCGCCTATATGCATTCTATAGTGAACTGAATAATAATTTCTACGACTGAACGATTTCTCACATATATCGCACTTGAATGGTTTCTCCTCAGTGTGCACTCCGATGTGTTGATTCAAATTATACTTATTAGCAAATTTTTTCTGACAAATGTCACATTGGTAAGGTTTCTCGCCAGTGTGAATTCTTTGGTGGCGAGTCAAATTATTCTGCTGTGTAAAATCCATTTGACAAACATCACATTTGAATGGTCTCTCGCCAGTGTGCAGCATGATGTTACTGTCCAAATGCCTTTTCTCTTCAAATGCCATCGGCAAATTTTGCTGGTGTTCCGTCAATTAAGGTTTCCTGCTAAACTTTCTCGGGCGAATATGACATTTAATAGATTTCTGGATTGTTTGCATCATAATCAGCTGAATCCATTTTCCCTTGTATTCCAAATGTCAGGTCAGTGATCTAATTTTCTTTGGCAGACAGGAAACGTTATTTCTTCAAAACGGGGACCTGTGAATGAAAAAAATATTTTTATTCCACAAGTGAATGTCACTTTATATAGAATACTGAAACTATTCACTGGACACAATTACTTATAATAAGTACTTATAATAACTATAGTTGCAAGGGTACTGATGGGAGATTCAAATCGAGTTTCCTATAGATTCCACACGTCGTGAATGTAGGTATATGTAGGTGCACGATGACCAACCCTGGAGTTGAAACATTGAAACACAACCCCTCTTCTTTTATTTGTTTACAAAGGTACAAAATGATTGAAATAGTTTTTCACAATATTTTGGGATACGAATGGGCGTGTACACCTCAGTAGAACTTTTAACTCAAACCATGTTTATAATGATCCTTTTATGCATAAATAATGATTGACGACATAATTAGATCGAAGAATTAACTGGAATGTTTTATTTTTGGACATAAATAATAGTACCCTCCTATGACGTAGAAACCTCATCTCGCCATAGTTAACAGAAAATACCAAACGCCCGACGGAACTGAGGCAACTGATATATTAATTCTTTCAACTGTGATCTCACGCTAATTCACTCTTACATGTATCGACATCTTTGTCTGGAATAGTCTTGTTTCAGTATTAGGGTTTTGACGTCACAAAATCGCCTCGTTTTCAGAGGTCCGAAAAATTGTGGATTTCAATATTTTTTTATAAAACGTAGGGAGCTCACAGCAAGAAACGGTTTGCGGTGGTGAGCTAGTTTGGGCGAGTTCTATCGAATTATGAAATAAAAATTTTTTGTGATATAAGCCCATTGTGTTTTTTCGGGTATTCATTAATTCAAGCATACCATCATATTGTCCTGTTGTACAATACACCACAAATGCAGCCAGAGACAGAGGAATATGATTTTCCTTGTAAATAGTGATCTCACATTCTTCATTATGAACTTTTGTCATTTCTCATCAGAATTCCTTCTGCCACTCCTGCAATGCACACACACCATAATTCGTCCTCCCGTTTTATTGCACGAATCTAATCTTCTTGCCTTCTTTCAGAGTATTTCTATTAGTTCCTATTGCAGAAGAAATTCCAATGAGAAATGACAAAATTTCGGAATGAAAACTCGGATTCCTGCGTCTCTCGCTGCATTTTTGTGCATTGTACAACAGCACATTGTGATGGCGTGCTTGAATTATTGAATAGCCGAAAAACACGATTTTTATGGCAAAATAGTTGTGAAAAAATATTTCAATCCTTCGTAAAAACATGAGATGTTATATTTCAATGTTTTACCTCCAGGGTCGGTCATCTGACAGATCTTGCATGCAACCTATATAGCGAATTCCATTCGTAAACCTGGTGGTGTACTGGTTTTGCACCAGTTTTGCACCCGCACTACGTTAGTTCTCTCCAAAATGTGTGCATCCCCAATAGAATACGAAATAAGATTATAATGAAATTATTGTTTGAAGTTCAATCGGATAAGTTGGTTAGTCTTCGTTTGTAATTTGTCCGTATCCTGAAATTCTTTCTTAACTTCGATTAGTAGAGCAAAGTGTTTCATGGAAATAATGTTGAGTACTTTTTTTGATAAATACCTCTAGATCATTGAATTTGCAAAATACTTTCAATACAATTGTGAATTCTAGGAAGTAATCTCCTTTATTTTCTTGAAACCTCCAACTATTCACCACTAATTGATCATGATAATTGCCACTAACAATTTGGTTTACAAACTATTCATATTAAATGTATCTCAAGTCTGCTACCAGAATATGATTCATTAAACCTGTTTGCATAAAAAAAAAATTCTTGTTAGAATATCGTAAAACAAACAAACAAACAGTTTTTGAGAAAAAGGATCATTTTTCATATTGATGCTAAAAAAATTCACAAACATTTTGAGCGTGTGTTCTGGAGATGAGAACATTATCAAACTTAATAATTATAATTTCACATTTCCAGTTTGTTTTGTTTTATTAGTGTTAATTGTGATGTTGATTTGTAGAATAAATTGGTCATTTAAGTCTGAAATATATGGGAATCTTTTTAATGAATTGCACAACCAAAATACAGATAGTGCCGAAAGTTGGTGCATGTTCGGTAATCATTTCAGATGCACTTAAAATGGTTGCAAGGGTAGGTCAAAAAATATATGAATTGCTCAAGAGTAAAGTACCTTTATTTCAGAAAGTTCAGCAAAATGTTATTGAGAAAAGTAATCATCATTTATTTCTCTAAATATAATAGTACAGAGTAGATTTCACACTATGAACAGTGTCGGATCCACCGGAAATTGATAAATAATGAGGAAAATAAATTGTTACACAAATGTATAAGTACATTTCATGAAGTTGAAAGAAAAATTTGAAGTTCCAAATATATAGTTGCCCCAGGTTCATGCTAACAAGAGCCTCGACAACTATAGGACCTCGATTCTTGTGAATCTTCAGAGTGCTGGCCGGCGATTTCATGCTGAGTAGATTGACCAACACAGGTGCGTTTCGGCCTGCCTGATTCATGATGTGCTGGCCTATTCACCAAGAGTTCTAGTTCATCTTTAAAAGGCTTTTTTTGGGCCTTCCTCTCCTCCTAGGTTTTGACTCAGTAGATGAGACTAAATTTGAAGATCCCACATGCCCATCTTTCGAACTAGGTTGTTTGATACCTAGATCCGAAGCAAAACTTTTCCTGGAATCATCAAGGATAAACTTGGTGTTGTCTTGCGACTGGGTGATATTTGAGAATTGATCGGGTTTGGTGCTCGAAGAGCAGCCTTTGCTTGTGGAAGTGGTAGCTGTTACAACTTGGGTATTTTTCTGATAAAATAGTAAATACGCTTTGTTACTGATGATCGAATCTGATGAAATTGAAGAAACACGACAATCGTTAAATTCGTGCCAGATGTTCGAGTAAGGAAGTTTGCAGTAGGCCGTATAGTGACCACTGTTGATGGTACCGCTATGGTTTGAAATAGCATATAGATCGTAGTGGAACGGTACACTTCCATCGGCTGCGTAATAGCTCATATCCAGTTTTTTTAAAGGGAAATCAACTGTGACGTTCAGTTTTTCTACGAACAGATCCAGCGAGAAACGTTTCAGATGGAAGACAAGAATTTCAGGAAACCTCTGGATAGATAATGACTTTGTACATTTTCGCCTTTCCTTGCATTTGGAGCAAGTAGGCTTGTCTTCGCCATCCAATGACTCCTCTCTGGTAAATGAGACCAAGCAATGGAACAAACTTAGTTGGCGCGTTCGCTGTGGTATTGGCAATGACAAATCCCAAAAGGGATCAAACGTCACTGAGGAATAGCCGCGATACGTGCATTTCAATGAAGACTTAAGCAGACCAACGAAATTATTGACTATCTCCGAATTCTCCACTTTCAAGAATCTCGACCACGATTCCAAAGCCTTTTCGTTGACATCCACAATTTCTACGATATCTGTGAACTCAGAATCGGACTTCTCGATGACCTTATTGATATCCTCGTGCAAACCCAAGAGCAGAGAGCGCATGAACTCTTGTGCGTCTTGCTGTGCATTACCGATGAAGCACGGCGCAAAATTTTGGATTGTGCACTTCAAAGAGTTCATATTGAAACCTTGGTCAGTCGAATCTTCCGACCACAGTTCTTTTATGACTTCTGCGAAAGCCTTCATAAAATATCCCTTCGTGCTGGATATGCTTGTGTTGATATCTCTGTTATATAAGTCCGTCAGAAAAGTTGTTTACAATTGAAAGTTATGCCTAAATATGAAAACATGACCACCTGAGACATTTTTTAATTTTTCAATTTTTTCAATAACATTTTGCTGAATTTTCTGAAATAAGGGTACTTTACTCTTGAGCAATTTTCGAGGGGTAAATCACAGAGAAAATTCGTGTACACCGGACTGCCATTCGTACTCGGACTGCCAAGACTGCCACCGGACAGCCACGGACTGCCACCGAAATTTAATGGACTATCACTCAATCATGTGTTCCAATAAAAATAAAGTTGTTTTTTGGAAATTTCAATTCACCACAAGAACAAAGTTCACGAAAACCGTTCTGACTGAATAAGTACTAGAAATGCATCCTGTATATAACATAACATATCTCGTTAAATCTACATGAAATGAAGATATTTTTTGCGGTGCAATAGGTGAAGTGGAAATACACGTCAATAGTACAGAAAGCCGATGTTTTTATTTTTCTGTCGATTCGCCTGAAAATGTTCAGCACAAAATTTTCGAGGATGAAAAATACGCATTTTGAGTCGCATTTGAGAATTAAAGATGGCGTCCCATAAGATGGCGGACGATTTCAACATCCATTCTCTTTCGATTCGCCCGATTCATGGGTAAATAATAATAATTATTAATTGATTTAACGATTCAAAATCTACAGCGTTGACATCATTCTAGATGCCACACAGTGTGTTTATTGAAAAGCATCTACTAAATATCAAGCTGGAATAATATCATGAGTACATTACAAAAATATTTATTATAGTGATTCCTATAGAACAATAGTAAAAAAAGTAACAAAATCAATAGTAACAAAAACAAAAGTAACAAAATCAGAACTACTTAACAAAAACAAAATAAATATTTCATTAAGGATAATATAATATCAGTTATAATTAATACGAACAGTTTTGTTATCTATTTCACAATGGGGATCTCATTAAGCATACCGAGAGGTGGAAATAGAGAGAGATTTACTACCTAGGACTAGACCTAGACACTCGCCTCGACAGATTAAAATTGTGAAAGAGATCAAGGAAACCTCGAAAAAAACCGTATGGACTAATACAAATAAAATTTGAAAATAAAAATATTTTGGTTTCAAAATAAGGAACATTCCTGAATACTCTATATCTCTGTAATCATTTCCGCTAGAGCACAAGTTTGATGAATTTGATGAAATCAACTCACAAGGGAGAATCTAAAAATTTCAATGCATTTTCACATCAGGGTGTCCCATAAGAAAATGTATAACTTTGATACGCCACTCATTTCAGAATCGCCCTGAATAACGCAAAATATTTTATAAATGTACTGCTCATCAGCCTAGACCATCTCAAAATTTCTTGTTTATCTATCTCAAACAGCAAAGCCGTTATCTCACTTTCCCACAGTATTGGTTCACCCTGTTCACCTATAAATCGTAATGCACTAACAAAAAAAAATCCTCGTTGTACATTTTCAGAAAATTCGACCTTCATCGTAAATTCGTGATTCTTATACTTGAAAATTATTGTCAAGAGTATACAGTGTGATTCACCACAAATATTCTTTCCTGATGTAATTGGATTATTCCAAAACCACATAATTTTTTATAACACGTAAAAAATATCGTTGAAAATTAATTTCTACGGTTTTTCAAATTTTGAAAACGTTCTCCTTCTTCATATTACCTATACAGGGTGATCCACGGTGGATGGCCTATTAGAAGTATCTGGAGAACGAAAAGACAGAACATCCTGAAAATTGGGTTTCTTCGATAATTGAACATTCTCTATCCGTCTAAAATATTTTCATCGATACAGTGTTGCCACTTCTATCAGCAACAACTAGCAACTTTGTTATTTCAAATGGAACACCCTGAATTTTATTGCATTTTTAGATTTTCCCTGAAGAGCTGATTTCATCAATGTATCACACTTGGGGTCTAGCCGTTACCACCGATAAAACAAGGCCAGCAGACTCTGACGTAAACAGCTCGTGACGTCGCATACTCAGGCCATCTTCCAAGGCATTCGCGTCGATCGATCGTCAGTTTGTTTTTGTTTAAGAACGGTGGCGTAGGTAAATCGCGTGTGCTGTGTGCTCGAATTATCTTGTTGTTTATTCATCAAAATAATTGGCGGAGAAATTATTGTTTTGTGAAATATTTCGTGTTGTGATAGGCGAAATAACAATGCCTTACAAGTGTTGTGTTCCCTTTTGTCGGGGGAATTATGTGGGTGGTCCAAAAGTTCATGCTTTTAGTTTCCCGTTGGACAAGGAACTATCAAAAAAGTGGGTACATGCAATTCACCGCAAGGATTTTACGACTCCATCTAAGTACAGTAAAGTATGTGATTACATTTTACTAAAGATGATATTATTACTTCATCTACTGCAACCGATTCAAAAACTGGCAAAACTGTAACAATAGATTTGAAAATTCCTAGGCTCAAACGAGATGTTATTCCCACTCAATTTGCCAACTGTCCATCTTATTTATCGAAACCTCGTCTTCGACTCGTGAGAATTTTCAAAATATTCGTGTTCTCGAAAAAATTTCCGGAAATAATTGGCGAAATAGATTACCGATCTCTGTTTATATCGCGAAAACTCAACATGTTCCCGTGTTGTTTTTTTGTCGCACCATGCTAGAATGGAAAACTTCGCAAAAAGCCGGCTAATTGAATAGCTTTCCCTCTTTTTTCCATCCACCCCTCGCATTTTTCCGTATGCAAATCGTCAAAGAGCTATGAATATAATAAATGGGTTAGTGAACAGAGTGACGCTCGGCACGTCTTTTCTAGGAATAGTTGAAAACAATAATCATTAATATGTAAAAACTAACCCACTCGCATTTTTCATATTTATATATAGTTTTTATTTTAATGTAGTATTTGTGTATGAAACAATGTTCCTATTTGTGACTTACCTTTTGTACTTTGTATATGTTTATCAAGGTGAATAAATTTTCATTTCATTTCATTACAAGATGGGGAAAAACGGCTTTCCATTGTTGTTTTTATTTTTGGTATGCAACTCCAATTTAGACATTTTCAAACGCTTGCAATTGCTGATTTCCTGAAATTCGTCCCCGCTACTTACCGGATCGTGGCTCACTGGAGCCAGGTATTTTTCATTTCTTTTTATTTTACTATCACAGTGAGCGATTTCTTCATCATATTGCGCGATTGCTGCTTTAAAATTTTTTACCGCTGTGATACACATATCCCGTTCCCGCTTATTATTCTCAAACTTTTCTTTCAAAGGTTTGCGTTTAACGAGCCTCTCTTCCTCTACCTCAGCAAATTCATCACGTATTTGACGAATTTTTGCATTAGCGGCGATTTCTTTCATTTGTAATATAGCACAGTTCTCTGATTTTGGCAAGTATGTTGTCTTCGGATCTTCTCAAAGCAGTGCAACGGTCCTGACCTGCGGCATCAACATTGGAGATTTCTGAACTATCTGTTTCAATCTCCATATCTATCGCATTTTGCCGTTCCACATATTCTTTCGCACTGTTTAACCATAGATTATAGATATCACTTTCCTGCCCACTATCATATATTTTGACGTGAACTCATTTGAGTATTTTCTATGCAGTACTCTGAAAGCTTCCTGACGTTCAACATCCTGAGTTAGTGGCATGTCATCATCATCGCCATCATCGCTGCTAACGTGAACTTTACGTACCTATAACATTCTCACGATCCAGCTCTGAAGATCTTCGGAGAAACTCACGTATCGCGGTTGGTGGTGCTATTCCTAAATAACATTATCAGTTTTATTGTTAGCTACAGGACGTTGTTACAGCCTATTTTAAAATGCCTTTTTAAAACTATTATACTTTAATAATCATTAAACCAATTAAACAACCTTCTCAAAACATAAAGGGCCCACCTTCATAAATGCTGTCACAGCTTCTCTTAAAGCTTGTCATGAAGCTAATAGGAATTTATTGTAGTATGCTTCAAAGCAATAATAAAACCTGTCAAAACTACTTCCTTTAAAGCCTTTTAGCACGAGTTCAAACCTGTATGTTTTAAAACGACAGTTCTTGTGCCAACATTAAAACTTATTGGCTAGAATTAAAACCTTATCAGTCGCAGTAAGCATTTGTTAAGATAATATATAGTCCGTAACGTGTTTTATGATAGTCTTTTTTCAGAACTGATTATAATACAAACATGTCAAAATGAAGAGAGAACAATAGATAGTTATAAAAGAGATTAAACATGGCGGTATGATATGATAATTCCCTACTGTATCAAATAGTCCATTTTGTGAAGATTGAGGCTGTAAAATGAAAACGATGACGACTTTTTCGACGAAAACATACCAGATATGCTTCAAAAAAAGCAGCGCCCTAGAAATAATGTGTTTTCACCAGTTAGAATTGGATGTGAATTTTAATAACTTTTCAAAAAAGTTGACAAAACTGTGTGAATGTTTGCTGAATATGGGTGAGTCGTTTGAAAAATGTGGAAAAACAACATTTTCGACGGCAGTATCAATGCATCTTTTCTATTTTCCGCTTGAAATTTTCATTTCCATCAATGGCCGACATCTGTTTGTAGTAAATATGGCGCAAAATATACTTAAAACCAATTTTCTTTCTCTAATGCTTGATTAAAACCTTTAGGTAATGATAAGGCATTTTATGAGACGATTTCCTCCTGTTGAAGTACTTATTGCATATTCGAATCTATTCTTATGACTATTTGCTCCTGGGTATGACAACAAAGCTTCGAAAATGATAAGATTGATTTGAGAAGGTTATAAGATAATGCCTTCATAAACCTATAAAGCTTTAAGAATATCCTGGCTAGTGCTCATTGGCAGTGTTAAGTGTAGAAGAACGTCATCAACATGATTAACATAACCCCACTTTTGTTGTTTGAAGTGTTCACTTTGTGAATTTTGTGATTGGTTTAAAGTAGGAAACCGAGTAGGAAACATAGACAACCTACACTCAGTGCAATTCGCCTGATATTGTGTTGATTGCTCCATTCTCTCAAATTCATGCTCTACTCGCCATCTGACATAATTTGTGCAAAATTATTGTCAACTTCCTCGCTTCCTAGTTCCCATTCAGAAGCACGATGATCAGAAGTATTTTCCATTACGTTCTGACTCGTTGATGGTACTTCATGAACATCAGGTCCTAATGAATTCTTGCTATTTGGTGGATTCAGGTGGTATGAATTGAAAGACGCAGTGTTTGGAATTGCTTGGACTTGAGATTTCTGATTAACTGTTGCTCTCACGACTTGATTTTTGATTCTTAAGTAATTCTCTTAATTTTTTCGCTTAGAGTTGCCATTTCTCTTAATTTCACACTATTTATTTTCTTGTGAGTCCATTTCAACGTGAGTCGTTTGTAGGCAAAAAAATACGAACATTTATATTATGGGATTTGGGTTTAACACGGTTCTAAATAAAACTTCATAAATCCTATAGATTTTATGATTGACTTCGATGAATTCATTGTGGCTTATAGGTTTTAATAATTACTTTCACATAGCTAGAATTATGCCAATAGGTTTCATTATTGCCTCAGTCAAATCCTAATTGGCCTAGTGTAAATTTGGTTTTATGATTGCCTTATGACGTATTTTCATAGGATTAGTTCAGAACCTCTTGGTCAAATTCGAGACACTAATAAAACTTGAGAGGGTTGTTAAGAGTAAATAGTTTTGATGAAGAATTTCAATGACTCTCACAGAGCTCTCTTAAAACCGAAGTGAGCTGAATGCCAAATTGTTTTATGCGATAGTTCTATCATAGTATCTCAAAGCCTTTTAATAGGACTATATGGACATGAAGGCCAATATGCTTTTTCCAGGGCATTCATAAAACGGTAGAACAAATTAGACCTATCATTTGCGCTCACATAACCTCTTTATAGTCTCATCGAAGCTATTAGGCATTTAAAATGTTACTTGGGATTGTGTGTTTAACTTTAGCCAATATTCGCCAATATGTTTTTATATGAGATGATGCGAAGCTGTTGGCGGCAACTTTTTCAGAGGCAAAACTGCTGATCCTATAGGGCGCGATTTTTTAACCGTTGTCGGTGGTGGTCGCGGTTTCTTTCTTGAACTGTTTTGCATGCTGCTTCTGCTTTCAATTTACTTTTTGCTCTTCTTCAAGTTTTTCGAGAGCTGGATAGATTTTTGGGAAAAATGCCAAAAAATAATGTTTATTTTTGTTAACTCTATTTGACATTGATTAATGATCTACTAGAATACATGGACTGATTGAAATCTCCCATAAGTTGTCTCAATGAAACTCGGCGGCAGAACTTGAGAGAATGCATGAGAAAGAAAAATGAAATTTCCATCCTTGGATTATATCTCCTTTGAACAGTTGAAGTCATGCTTCAGATAGCTGACTCACCCTGTATATCTAATATATACACGGTGTACTCTGGTGAATCAAACTAAATGCTTTCAACATTATTCAATAATTTCCAACGTGGTATTTGTTTTCACACAGTGTTTGGAAAACTCAAATACGCCAACAAAGGTACAAAAATGAGTATTGTGGATAAATATAATTATGTTTTCCGTGATCATGGACAGCACATCAACACCTAAAAAGTTTTTTAAGCTCCGCTATAAGCTATAGGTCCCGCTTTACTTGACCCCGATACTTCTGTGGAATTGGTTCCCAATTTCGAAGTAGATATATGAAAATACATTCAATTGGGCCTATAGATAGTATTTCAGTCGAATCGATATACTCAATTATTTGTACTTATATATGGCAAGCTTGAAATAAGGTACTTTTCTCTCTTAAAAAAAAATCAATATGGGCGAAAAAAATACAATCCATTGAGCCTATAGATAGTATTTCAGTCGAATCGATATACTCAATTGTTGGTACTTATATGGGCAAGTTTAAAATCTGGTACTTTTCTCTCTCGAAAAAAAAAAATATATCGACGATGATATATGTGTTTATATAATTGAGTGGTGATTAGCAAATGGCTGCCACCAAATGTCAGTGAATACCGCACATACCACATATTATTATTATTTTAATATGAAAGAAGATAGTGAGTATGGAAGTTTTGGGTTTTTTTGGGGTCAAAATATTAGTGAATTCGAACCATAGTCTGAGTCCATAACTGGCTTGCATTATTTGGGTGGGTACTTTTGTGAAACATAAATGTTTATTGGAGGATTCAAGAATTAGTATTAAATATAGTACTCCTAATAGAAACAACTTTCAAATTTATTATTTGGTACTTTACCTTTTATGAGGGGTTGAAACTATAAATATGTCTTTATTGAAGGGCGGGTAGGATTTCATTTCCAAATGGGTTTCTTCAAACATAGTAATACAGCCAGTGGCATAGCGAGATTTTTTGGGGCCCCGATGCAGCGACGTTTGAGAGGTACTAGTTCGATGAGAAAAAATGTCTCCACCCCTATAGGGCTCAAGGTAGATGATGAGATTAAAAAACGATAATGTCATGTAACGGCTTTCACATAGATTAACCCTTACTTTGGCGCTCTGTTCAGGACAGATACTACTCTGGTATTTGACGGAGGGAGGGGGGGTTCTCGAGGGCCAGATTGTTTTTGAGGTAGTTTACTCTACCTGCTCTGCACAAAATATTTTTGTACAGGGGCCCAAAGCAGCAACAGTGGAGAAAGGTACAGGAGGTATACCTACTTCGGTACCTACAGTATAAACCAGGAGTCAATGTTATTGAATCGACATGGAATCAATAAGGAGCCAAGGGAGTGTAGGCTTTAATTACAAACCCTGGGTTAAGCCTGGAATACTGGTTGCTATTTTTATTCTGGATAATTACAGGAATCAAAGCAAATATCTTTCGGGACTCTGGTATTTTGAGGTTAGGCCAGGAAAATTATTTATTGAAACTATTTCATCATTTCTACCTGGAAAATCGGAAACACAATTCCAAACGAATTAAACTGATTCAATTCTTATTTATCTCTCCTTTTCCTTCGCTTTTTAAATTTTTCCATATCGGAATTTTAGTGAGGTTAATTATATTTTCCTATCCACAATGAACTCAATACAACTGGAAGGGATACGATCGTTCTCTCGAATAGCACAAAGTGTGTCAGGGGCAGCTGCAACAAAAATAGCATGATTTACGGATACCTGTCCTCTTCCAACTCGTGTTGTTTAATGGTGGATTGGTGTATAAATTTTCTTTTATCTAATAATTAAAGTAGTAAAAAATTTTTTCTGTCATCTACACAGGCAAGAAAGTGAAGACATAAGTTCATTGTCTTAGTTCATGTGAAATACGAGGTGAAATATCTATTCATTTGGCGTGTTTTGTTGTAACGAAAGGACTGAATTTGTTGTTG